AAAAGAGTAACGAATGGAGTTTCTTGCTCGTTCTTCTCCATTCGAATGTACGTTTTGGAATGAGCACCTAGCTTCACCTAATTTCACTGACGGACTGACTGACAGACTATTATTTATTTTGTATTTGTTGACGTTTCAAAAGTACCAAACTATGGTTTAAACTGTCAAAGACCAAGCGGTCACCGGTGACCGCAACCTATTGTTCTATAATTGTGTCTATAATGACGGTACTTGACGAGTTAATTGAAATAAATGCTATGACTTTGACTTTATTAACGTTGTGCATTTTGGATATTTTGGAATGGTTATGGAATAATTTTACACAAATTGCTTTAATTGTCAGAATAAAAAAGTACTATATGTGGTAGAAGTACTGTCTTTTATCTATTGCGCTATCGTACACAAACATGACAATTATTTATATTACATTAAAAAGTTTTTCCCTCAGAAAAATCCAACTTCCATCCATAATTTGAACGACTTTTTCACTATTATTGTTACCAGAACCATCATCACCAATCTCTAAAACTGATTCGATCGGTTTATGATAGCTTAAGTAAGAAACGAACAGTTTTGATTCGAACCTATTTCAATGTCTAATAAAGACCACATCAATAACAGTTTTGTATTTCGTTGTCTATCGTTAAGATGGCGATCATTTGACATAGTTAAATGACAGTGGTTAAACCAAATTCAATTAAGCACATAAACACACTCGAAAATTTGCGAAAGCGTCGTGCACCGCCTAAACGCAACAGCCGGCGGCGCAGGCATACATTTTCGCCGCGCCGTAGAAAGAGAGGGGGATACTCCCCGTCCTACGCCACGTCAGCTGTAAATCTGTCTTACAAATTTTCGATCAGGTCACGTGTCTTGACCCGAGTTTAACATTTTTACCCATTACAAATTGTGTACAACGCCGCTATAGAAGTTTTTTTACTTCAAAAAATCACGTCAATTTCTGACAAAACAAACAGAAAACAAAAATTTGTAATTTATGTTACTACACATTTTTGTGTTATCTGTTTTATGCCAATGAATCATTGAAGTTTTTTTTAGTTTTCATGATTTTATATTAAGGTATGCAAAAAGGCTGAATAATAATATTATTAACCACTGACCCTTTATAGTTGGCATTCGGTCCAACGAGAGATCGGGGCACTGGTACTAGAAAGGACGTATGATTGTTCTATCCCAGAAATCCCACGGGACAGCAACTGCGTTAAACTTCTGGCTCTCTCTATCTTTTAAACCATTGAACTTATTCGAGTGGAATTCGGTACGACGATAGTTTGAGATTCGGAAAATAACAACTGAGAGTTTTCGACTGCTTTTGCCTATTGGATTGGAATTCAAATGGAGTTATAATTACTGAAACCTCACGGGAATGAAATCGATTCTGATGAGATTTGTTACACACTATTGGAAAAGACTACTAAAAAATTCAAAATTTGCCAGAAGTCATTACTATATGCGGACGAAGTCGCGGGAAACAGCTACTCTTATATATAATATTAATTTATTTTTAAGTTGCAAATATTTAACCTCGTAAATCTTTATTTATATAATTCTTCTGTGAGTGTGTATGTACTGAACTTCTCTCAAACGACTGGACCGATTTTGATTAAATTTTTTGTGTGTGTTCAAGGGGATCTGGGAATGGTTTAGATTCACAAATCAGCCCGGCAGATGGAGCTGCAGTCGATCGAAATTCGAAATTGTATATGTTCGGATAGGTCCTATCCTAATCAGCTGAACTAATTTGAATGAATTTCGACGACTATCTCAATTGTTTTCTGTTTGTTTTGTCAGAAATTGACGTGATTTTTTGAAGTAAAAAAACTTCTATAGCGGCGTTGTACACAATTTGTAATGGGTAAAAATGTTAAACTCGGGTCAAGACACGTGACCTGATCGAAAATTTGTAAGACAGATTTACAGCTGACGTGGCGTAGGACGGGGAGTATCCCCCTCTCTTTCTACGGCGCGGCGAAAATGTATGCCTGCGCCGCCGGCTGTTGCGTTTAGGCGGTGCACGACGCTTACGCAAATTATCGAGTGTGTTTATGTGCTTAATTGAATTTGGTTTAACCACTGTCATTTAACTATGTCAAATGATCGCCATCTTAACGATAGACAACGAAATACAAAACTGTTATTGATGTGGTCTTTATTAGACATTGAAATAGGTTCGAATCAAAACTGTTCGTTTCTTACTTAAGCTATCATAAACCGATCGAATCAGTTTTAGAGATTGGTGATGATGGTTCTGGTAACAATAATAGTGAAAAAGTCGTTCAAATTATGGATGGAAGTTGGATTTTTCTGAGGGAAAAACTTTTTAATGTAATATAAATAATTGTCATGTTTGTGTACGATAGCGCAATAGATAAAAGACAGTACTTCTACCACATAAAATATAGTACTTTTTTATTCTGACAATTAAAGCAATTTGTGTAAAATTATTCCATAACCATTCCAAAATATTCAAAATGCACAACGTTAATAAAGTCAAAGTCATAGCATTTATTTCAATTAAACCATAGTTTGGTACTTTTGAAACGTCAACAAATACAAAATAAATAATAGTCTGTCAGTCAGTCCGTCAGTGAAATTAGGTGAAGCTAGGTGCTCATTCCAAAACGTACATTCGAATGGAGAAGAACGAGCAAGAAAATCCATTCGTTACTCTTTTAAAAAAAAGTATGTTCTACAATGTCTCTGATACATATTTCAATACTGTACTCATATGTAAGAACAATGGAAAGACACGCTTGACGCATTATACTAATAACTTACTAAAAAAAAAATATTAAGTCTAACATGGTGCTCACATATGCATACTGACAATCGATAGACATAGTGCTTCTATACAAGAAAAAGGAAACTCTTTGTTTCAATAAAGAAAGAAATGCTCGATGCCATAATACTTAAGTTTTCACGTTTACCGGCACTCCCGTCGTGCAACCCATCGTTTTTTCAATGTTTCTGATACTGTACGCATATGTGAGAACAATGCAAAGACACGCTTGACGCATTATAGGTACTAGTTACAAACCTTACTAAAAGATAAAAAAAACTTATAGTCTAACATGGTGCTCACATATTCATACTGACAATCCATATAAATAGTGCTTCTATAGAAGAAAAAGGAAACTCATTGTTTCAATAAAGAAAAAAATGCTCGATGCCATAAGGAAACTAGATTGTCTACATTAGAATGAAAGTATTAAACTACCTACGATTGGAATCTAACTGACTACTTTTGAGTATTGTCCAGTTGAGTCGAACCAACATACTGCTGGCAATTAAATTATTTTACTTTCATTTTCTACCAAACAATAAAGTTAATTAACATGTTTACAATACTTGTAATGTTAGTATATTTCGATTTTTTTCTAAGCGGGGAAAATCATCGAATGACTGATCCCGCCTGGATTAGGCGGGAGGGAGTGTCAGACTCTTACTGACTTAAATCCACCCCGTTTCTTCTCCTGCACGTCAAGCCGGAGGCCGGGCGTCGGGGATCGCGGGACGATCTCCGGCCACCGTAAGCGCGGGCCTGCGGACGGCGAGCATGGGTGGCTCCCCGTCCGACCAGAAACAGACCCGAGCGTACGGCGCGTCGCGGCCCGCGCGCGCCTCAAAGAGCCATCAGACCACCACAGATGGGGCCCAATAGGGCCGATGCCGATTCGGAGTCGCGGAGAACCTAACGGGTAACCGGGGCTCCGGCTCGACGTGCAGGAGAAAGAACGGGGTGGTTTTTAGTCAGTAAGAGTCTGACACTCCCTTCCGCCTCACCCAGGCGGGAGCAGTCATTCGATGATTTTCCCCCCTTAAAAAAAAAAGGGTCTCTCTAAAAATTTTTGTTTATACATTCAAGTGGATATGCAGGACAACGTCTGTTGGGTCCGCTAAAACTGCAGTGTAAATAGTTAATTTTAGTTATACTTAAACCAGTTGTCTCGACTCCTCTGTCCTCTTAATAATAAAATGATTAATAGGTACGTCGTAGTTTAAACAACATAATGCATCCTGTCATTAAGATATTATTTTTATTTGTGCAGTCAAATAAATTATCTATAATTATTAAAAAAAATAAAAATACAAATAAATAAATGTAAGAAAATAAAAACACAAGTTCCATTTTTAATTTTCTATATTTAACAGGGCATTTGGTTTGAGATCTTAGTCTATACAGATCGTCTCTTATCACTTATGATACTATAATTATTACTATACATATACATAAACGAGCATATATATTAATTAAACAAAAATAATATATATAATAGTTATGAAGTAGTACATATTACAATTTTACATCCTACAGGAGTTAAACACATAAAGTAATTGGACTATAATATTGTATAATAATAAAATAAATAATTGTTGTAAAAAAAATAAGAAATATTGTAACTATTATGTACTTTACATATTTAATATGGATACATATTCATGCTAGTACCTATGGACTATAAACTGCAACTGCAACCAATTCGACGATCTGTACGGGAAAATAGACATACTTTTCACGCATGTCTAAATTATCAGTTCCTGTACAACACACATAAGATTATCTATAATGCTGCACAAAACAACTTCAATGCATTTGCATGCATTCTTGCATAATATTATTTTCAAACAAAAATTGTGGTTGTTTCACTTAACGGGTTACATTCTCCCAAAACTAAACTTGAGACATGCGTATTTTACTATTCGTATTTTTCACATTATTTGAAACCATATGTGTAAGTATAGCCACCAGCACTGCCTGCTGCACCAGCTGCGCTACCCCCACCAAGATAACCTCCACCTCCAGCACCGGCTGCAGCCGCAGAGCTAGCGCCCGCTGCACCGTATAAACCACCACCTCCTGCCCCGGCAGCTGCTGCAGAACTGGCGCCCGCTCCACCATACATACCGCCACCTACATAACCTCCACCTGCCCCTGCAGCAGCTGCAGAACTAGCGCCTGCTCCACCATATAAACCCCCACCTACATAACTGCCGCCTCCTGCTCCAGCAGCAGCCGCAGCACTGGCATCAGCTCCACCATATAAGCCCCCGCTTAAGTAACCTCCACCTCCTGCCCCAGCAGCAGCTGCAGAACTAGCGCCTGCTCCACCATATAAGCCCCCACTTAAGTAACCTTCACCTGCTGCCCCAGCAGCAGCTGCAGAACTAGCGCTTGCTCCACCATATAAACCTCCACTCAAGTAACCTCCACCTCCTGCCCCTGCCGCAGCTGCAGAACTAGCACCCGCTCCACCATAGTATCCTCCTCCTAAATAACCTCCCCCTCCTGCCCCTGCAGCAGCTGCAGAACTAGCGCCCGCTCCACCATATAAGCCCCCACCGATATAACCGCCACCTCCTGCCGCAGCAGCAGCCGCAGCACTGGCGTCAACTCCACCATATAAGCCTCCACCTAAATATCCTCCACCTCCTGCCCCAGCAGCAGCCGCAGCACTAGCATCAGCTCCACCATAAAAGCCTCCACCTAAATAACCTCCACCTCCTGCCCCAGCAGCAGCCGCAGCACTAGCATCAGCTCCACCGTAATAGTCCCCACCTAAATAACCTCCACCTCCTGCCCCAGCAGCAGCTGCAGCACTAGCATCTGCTCCACCGTAATATCCCCCACCTAAATAACCTCCACCTCCTGCAGCTGCTGCTGCCGCTGCAGAACTGGCGCCCGCCGCTACACCATATAAGCCACCGCCTAAATAACCTCCACCTCCTGCCCCAGCAGCAGCCGCAGCATTAGCATCAGCTCCACCGTAATAGCCTCCACCTAAATAACCTCCACCTCCTGCAGCTGCTGCTGCAGAACTAGCGCCTGCCACTCCACCATATAAGCCACCACCTAAATAACCTCCACTTCCTGCCCCAACAGCCGCAGCAGCACTGGCATCAGCTCCACCATAATAGCCCCCTCCTAAATAACCTCCACCTCCTGCTGCAGCAGCAGCTGCTGCAGAACTAGCGCCCGCCGCTCCACCATATAAGCCACCACCTAAATAACCTCCACCTCCTGCCCCAGCTGCCGCAGCAGCACTGGCATCAGCTCCACCATAATAGCCCCCTCCCAAATAACCTCCTCCGCCTGCAGCAGCAGCTGCTGCAGAACTAGCACTCGCTCCACCATATAAGCCTCCACCCATATAACCACTACCTCCTGCCGCGGCAGCAGCCGCAGCGCCAGCTGCTGCATTACCACCATAATTGCCAATGCCATAAGCGCCAGCGCTCCCACCAGCTTCAACGCCCGCTTGTACTCCACCCTCGATTTCAGCTTGCATGCCACCACTAATACTACTTTCAAATAATCCACCAATAGTGCCGGATATCATTCCGCCTATACCAGCACTGGCAGTTGCTCCAGCGGTAGCTTCCACGCCAGCGTCAATACCAGCTTCAAATCCTCCTTCAATACCAGCTTGAATACCGCCGCCAATCCCTCCATAACCACCGGCTGCACCGCTCGCAGCAGCAGCTGCCGCCGCACTGGCACCAGATCCACCGTAGCCATACCGTAAAGCATTTTTACTCTTGTTATGATCAACTGTAGTTGTGTGATTAGATTTACTCTTGGACACGTCATCAGCTCGACATATTGTGACGATGATAGCACAGAAGAACAACTGAAAAGATAAAGATCGCCTTGTTTTAAAACTCACTCACTCATTGATTGTTTTTGACCAGACCCAGTTAACAATTTGTGTCATTTGTGTTTGTCACATAATTGTTTCATACATAAATCGAACCGTAACGAGTTGTGCACACAAATGCGACAATTTAATTAAAAGTTTTAAAAAGAAGCTTGATAGTTCCCGAATATAGGAAGTATTATTGAGATTGTGTGTTTCAATTTTTATGTCAAAGCATCGAAAGTGAGTTTACGGCCAGTGTATACCTAATCTCACCACTTAATTTGTACATACCTCTACATACGATTTGTAACAATTATTAAGAGAAAAGTGAATGTTTAAATTTCATGCGTCCTTCGGGGAACAAAATGAAATGTGTGATGATGTGTTATCAATTATAAAATAAAATAGTATTCTGATTGAATGACTAACAGATTCATCATCGCCGAGCGCAAACTAATAGGTTTTTTTTAAAGGGGGAAAATCACCGAATGACTGCTCCCGCCTGGGTGAGGCGGGATCCCGAGTGTCAGTCTCTTACCGACTAAAAACCACCCCGTTCCTACTCCTGCCCTTCGAGCCGGAGACCCGGCAACCCGTTAAGTCCTCCACGGCTCCGTATCGGCATTAGTCCTATTGGACCCCGTCCGTGGTGGGCTGATGGCTCTTTGAGACGCGCGCGGAGCGCGACGCGCCGTACGCTCGGGGAAACTAACACTCATTAAGACTCACTAACCCCTATAAGATGACACTAGTTATACTTGTTATACTTGTTATTCTTTATATTTTCATATATTAAAATTAGAAATTTTGAAAATTTGGAAAATTTGATCACTTGGACAAAACCGCGAGAAATACCTAGTCTTCTATATATTTAAACTCTTGCGACTGACAGACAATGCACATCCGAAACGAATGGTCGGAGAGAGCTTAAATTTTGGCATGTGTGTTTGTTGGGGTTGTAGAGTAGCACTAAAAGAATATTTTGCCCCCTAGGGGGAGTGCATGGATATATATATATTTTTTGTTATACCACCGAACCAATTTAAATGTAAATTGGTATGCATCGTTTAAGAATCGAGAAAAGACATAGAATAGTTATTATCCCAAAAATCCCAAGGGAACAACTAATATGCGTTAAATTCTCGGGTTCTCTATATATTAAACTACTGTACCAATTTCATTAACATTTTAAGATTTCTTACAAAACGATGGTTTGAATATGGAATATGGAATAGGAGTACAAAATGTATCGCTATTCTTTCAACTAAAGAGTCTGAATTGCGTAACCTGTAATTTAATGTGAGTGTTCATTAATTGACCTTGCGACTTACCAGAGAAATATTTTTTCTCACTTGTTCTGCCATCGTGCCGAGCCTCAGTGCTCGTTCGTATGATGTGAGAAACCAAGACTGATCGACTTTAAAGGCGGCATTATACCGAATTTCAACGGTAGAACAAAATCGACTTTGTCACGCAGTACCGAGCAAATTATTAGTTAATTTACATCTGGTAGAAACTGATTAAGGAAATGTTTACCCTGAAACAATTTTAGTAATACATTACAAAATAAATGTATGACAGAAATAAAAATTTTTGTAAATATTCTTACTACATAATTTATTTAATTCAAAGTCAAAGTCAAAGTCAAAGCGTTTATTGCAACTAAGTGTACAGATGGTGGTTATAAAATTATTACAGTGCTTAATACTTAGCGGCCTCTTACAGACATTGCAACATTTTTAGTTATGTAGGTACACATTCATTGTTATTAACATTGTAGGTAGATATTACAAATCATAAAGAAAAGAAAAAAAAAATAATAATAATTGTCAGGTATATGTCACATCATAGTAATAATCAATTTAATCGGTATAATTGCTGTCGAGTTTAGGATGTCAATAATAAAATTATACAATGTCAAAGTATTTCAATGTTATGTTATGTCGAGTAGGTATATACATTTCGTTTGTATAGGGCAGATCGACGGTTCCCACATGAATTAAAATTATTTTATTTTGGACTCTAAATATTCCGTCACTGAGTAGAAGCATTCTTTTATTAGGTATATCTTTAGTCGTTTTTGAAATACTAATATTGATTTTTCAGATTTTAATCCATCTGGCAATTTATTATATATTTTTATAGCCATATAGTATGGACTATTAGTTAACATTTTTATTTTTGATGGTGGCGCACATAATCTTTTTTTATGGCGCGTGTTGACGCTGTGTGTATCTTCTACTCGTGTGAATTTGTCGATATTTTTAAAAACAAAAATACATAAATCAAGTATGTATATTGACGGGACGGTTAAGATTTCGTATTGTTTGAAGTATGGTTTGCAGCTTTGTGTACTATCTATTTGGGCTAGAATTCTTATACACTTCTTTTGCATTACAAATATTTCCTGTACGTTTACACTATTTCCCCATAACATGGCACCGTAGCGCAGCCACGAGTATGCATAAGCGTAGTAAGCAGCCATAGCTGTATGTGTGTCAGTGCTTTGTTTTATTTGAAAAAGAGCGTAAGTGAATTTAGATAATTTGGTTTTTATGTGTTCTATGTGTGACTTCCAATTTATGTGAGTGTCAATATTAATGCCGAGTAGGCTAAATGTATTAACTTCTTCTATTTTCATGTTATTGAATGCTATGTCTAGATTTAAGGGAGGTCTTTTGTACGATCTAAATTGCATCAATTTAGTTTTGCAACTATTTATTTCTAAATTATGGATTTGGAGCCAATTATTCACCGTTTCGAGTGTCTGCTGTATTTGCAAATTAGGGTATTTTAAATTTTCACACTTCATTAATATGGAAATATCGTCTGCAAATAATATTGGTAATGCTTCGTTTTTGTCTAGTGTTTTGGGAAGGTCATTTATATAAATTAAGAACAACGCGCATCCTAGCACACTTCCTTGTGGGATTGAGCAAGTAATTTGCTTTTCACGTGATCTAATGGCATTGATGACGTTTTTTCCGTGGTTAGCATATTCAATTTGTACTATTTGCTTCCTATTGTGTAAATATGATTTAAACCAGGAATATGCAGGTCCTCGTACGCCGCAACCATATAGTTTAGTGAGTAAGATGTCATAAAGTACCTTGTCATATGCTTTTGTCATATCGAGTAGTAGCCCAATAACATGTTGTTTGTCGTTTATGTATTGCAGTGCTTGTTGAATGTATTTATAAACTGCTAGTGTTGTTGATCTACACTTCCTAAATCCGTTCTGTGCATCGTCAAGAATATTGTACTTTTCCAAGAATTTACAAAGCTGATTACACATTGCCTTTTCAAATACCTTTGAAAATGTAGGTAGCAGTGCTATGGGTCTATAGTTGCTTGCAATATGTTTATCACCTTTTTTATGTACTGGTTTTACTAAAGCCACTTTAAGAGAGTCTGGAAACTGTCCATCTTGAAAGCTTTGATTAACCATCTTCATCAGGGGAACGGATAGTTCCATAGCACATTGTTTTAATAAAAAAGGTGGAATGTCATCGATACCACAGCTATGTTTATTCTTGGTGGATTTTATTATATTAACTATATCCCTTTGGTCTACTGGGCGCAAATACATTGAACAAGTAGGAGGGTTGATTACGGGCTTACCAATGCTTTTATTCGAATGAGGTGTTTGGTTTTGTCCTACCGTTGCAAAGAATTCATTAAAGTGGTTGGCAACAATTAGTGGATGTTTTACTTCATCATTGTCTATTTTGAGTATTATATTTTCTCGTCTATTTATTGTTGTTTTGCCTGTTTTTGTGTTAATAATTTTCCACATAGTCTTTACCTTATTGTCTGATTTTTGCATTTGTTTAATATACGTAATTTTTTTTGATTTTTTAATAGTCAATTTTAATATTTTATTATATAATTTATAATGGTCTTTTATAACACGACTTTTGGTTTCATTGAGAATCGTTCGTAACACTCTTTTATGTAAGCATGATTTTTTAAGCCCTTTTGTAAGCCAACTTTTATTTGGTTTTGATTTTATTCTTATTTTTTGCAGCGGTATGTATTTATTTAGATTATTTTTTATTATTGTGATGAATGATTCATAATTTATATGTATGTTTTTGTTGTTACTTAAGACTATTTCCCAATTTTCCGATTGTAATGATTTTTTGAAGCTTTCAACGTTACTTTTTGTGAATAATCTTTTCTCGATGTGCCAAATTTCATTATTGTTTGGCGAATATTCGCAGTTTAATTTAACATTTATTGCCTTATGATCCGATAGCCCATAGTCTTTTACAGTAGCTGTATTTATGAGCGGTGGGTAGTTAGTAAAAAGTAAATCGATGCAAGTCGATGATGTTTTAGTCACCCGTGTTGGTTCGCGAATAATTTGTTCCAAGTTATATTCTTTCATAAAATTTATGAACTCATGGGTCTGTTTATTTTTATGACCTACATTTATGTTAAAATCACCTCCTATGATTAAGTGTTTGTGTGACTTTTTAGTAGTTAGTTTATGTAAAACTTTACCCAACTGTTGATAAAATAAATCAATATGACGATCTGCCCTATAAAGTCCTATAACAGTACAATTTAGTTTAGGTACGTCAATAGCACTAAATTCTATAAAATATTCCTTTGAATGATTTACAATATCTATGCGTTCTATAAAGTCTACTGAGTCTTTTACAATCAATTCATACTAACTTTTGACAGCGGCTTCGACCGTGTTTCCTGGAAAGAAGTTACATTTCAACTATAAGTATGCTCATATTAAATAAACAGAATGAAACAGTATTTATGTAATAAGACTTTACAATATTAATTTAGAGGACCTTTACATCTCATAAATGATAGCGCAATTATGTTTAACTTAAATAACTTTCAATTTATTTTTTGTTCTTTTATTTCGATCTCAAAACACGTGCATGACTAACTGTTACTACATATCAGAAGGTGCCTAGTTGAACAGTCCAAGAACCATTCGCTTGATTCGATTTCTTACGTACAAGGCCTTCCACACACTTACATATAACATTACGGGAGTTCATGGGCGGATACCTAGACTTGTTGCATAAAAAGATACTATTTTCCCTCATATACAATGAGCATGACACTTGATGTTTGAAAGATAATTTAACATAAGTATTCAAGACGCTTGGTCGCATCTCGAGACCAGAGGGTTGGTCTTTTTCGCTGTCAGAGTTTAAGCATGGCCATACAACGTGGCAATACTATATACTTTCCCAATTGACATCGCTGCGGACGAATGTTTTGATGCTCTTTGTAAATAGTAATTTTTAGTTCTCTTTCTTAACACGTTAACCGCCGTGTGGGTCACTGGTGACTTACATTAGCGGAGTAATTGCCTTCAACAGATTTTTATCGGCAGTCAAAGGCTTAAGTAATAGTTAGTATGTATTTTATTTAAGTTTATATATACTAATATTATAAAGAGGAAAGATTTGTACCTATTTTTGTATGTTTGTATGTTTGTAATGAATAGGTTTAAAAAGTACTGGGCTCTAAAATATCTTTCGTCGAATACGCTGCCGAAACTATTAGCGATAGAATAAAATAATTTACAACATATTGAAGAACATCATAATGTCTACAAAAAACTCCGCTGTATATGTCCATTGTCCAACTATTGTAGTTATGGCATTACAACAATCCAAATTTCCAAAAATAAATAATTGTCTACCCCGTGTGAAACCGGGACGGCCTGCTAGTCTTAAATAAGATAAATACTAACTATTATTTTCTTTTGCCAGACCGACAACTACTTTGACGTTGTGGACATAAACATAAGTAAGTGTGGGTGAGCCATGCTTCGGCACGATTGGGCCGGCTCGACCGGAGTGATACTACGGCCTCACAGAAAACCGTGAAGCTACGCTTGCGTTGTGTTTCGTCGTGTGAGTGAGGTTACTGGAGACCCAATTACCCTCCCCTTCCCCAATCTCCCCAATCCCTGAATCCCCAACGATCCTCAAACTCCTAATCCCCAAAAAGCCGGTAATACGCTTGTAACGCCTCTGGTGTTCCAGGTGTCCATGGGCGACGCCGATTGCTTACCATCAGGTGATCCGTATGCTCGTTTACCGGTTTATGCCATAAAAAAAGGAATGATTACTTTTTTATATGTATGTATATTTAACATATTTTTTTTAATTTGTTCGTTTATCTAATTTGTTTATAGCAATGTTACCACTTCAATATTTACATTCTAAAAATGTAATTGTAATTTGTAGTTATTGTTAAGTTATTTTTGTCGACTACTGTATGCATATTTGTTACATTTTCAAACATGAATTTTATAATGAATATTGTCAATAATTGAAATTTGTAAAAAGTAAGTATAAATATGGAGTTCTCTTTATTTTTCTCTATATTTTTATGGAAATCTTTTAAAGTAACTAATTTACTAGAATAGGAATATCGTTATTACAGTTGAGAAAAGAAAATAATGTCGTTAACTAACCACACTTTGCCTTATTCACAATCAATGGAGAAATTATGATAATTACTTATAACTAAGTTTTTT